CTTCATAGATAAGCTGAATCAATACTAAGTATTTTCACTGTGACCTAAGTAACTTTTCTTACTTTTACTAGAGCTTAGAAAAGGACATTAACAATATAACTAAGTAAGGACAAATGAGATTAATTCTTACTGACTAAACAACGAAGAATCTCCCAATTTTATTTTAAAAAAAAAACGTTGCTCCACACTTGGATTTTCTCCTGTGTCGTGGATTACAAACCTACAAATTCACACACACATCACACCCAGACCCGGAACAACAATTTGTGGATCACGCAGAGTTGTTCCGTGCGGGGATCGACACGTTTCCCAGCAGTTGCCCAGCCACCTCACTAACCGTGCAGTCAATTTGTATAACTTCTATTTCTTAGGACCTACCTACAGCTTTAGCTCCATCGTGAATATTTTTATTTCTGACATACGTACCATTTTTTTTTAATTCGATAAAGGCCCTAAATTAGTGGAACGACAATAATTTACTTTCTCAAAGTATATTGTGTTATACACGAACTCCATTTCGGATTTAGATAATGAGATTCATTAAAAAATATATACCATTTAACATACTTCTACTTACTAAAAAAACATTTCGTCCTTTTCACAAAAAAAACACCATTTCAACTCCGAAATAACTGCACACTTAACCCTTCAAATGCGACGGACATTTATAAGCTCGGGCTTGCCGCGGCTCGGCTAAAAAAGTCCCGACAAGCTAAGAAAACAAACTTCAGTTGAAAAAAAAATACAGTAAGCAAGTGAACTGTTTGGTTAGAGGGTTACTCGATGACGAAACTGTGATGAAAACTAAACTGAACACACTTTAATATTTATGTAGTCGTGAAGTTTAGCTAGATGAGTTTAATTTTAACTCTGATGTTTTTGACAGACGACGCGTTACGGGGTTAAGTGATGGAAAATGATTAATACTAGTAAATTGCGTACTAAGGAATTCACTGACTGAGAAAAGTTTTTACATTAAAGACATTATGTAGAACACTGGCCGCTACAATTTTGAATTTCAAAAATAGAACATGTAGTAACTTCCATAATTAAAAGAATACTTCGTTAGTCATGAGGTTAGTAAAGTAATTTGGACCAAACATGAATATAAATAGGATCCAATTCCGAAGTAGCAGAAACTTGAGATTTGTGTCAGACTGTGGTATCGCCTACATTTGAGTCTGGGACTAATTACATAATTGGTGAAATATTTACGTTTCCATATAGATACGCCAATCTGTCACCTATCTTGTATACATTTTCGACTTTACTCCAAATGCGTAGAGTTGAAAATATTTTTATCAGATTGTAGTGACTTCATTTTCATTCAACCCTTGCTGAGCTTAGTACGTTTTACAATATACGCCAACTTTAACCCTATTCCATTTGGCAACCTGGACACTTATGTTTGGTTTTGGTAAAAGCTAGCGTCTTCTGACATAACTTAAGCCAGTTCATTTCCCAGCAGGTAACAGAATTCAGTGAATATTATAATAATAACTATTTGTAGTGACAGGTAAATCTCCCGGATATACAGGCAAGAAAGGAAATATCCAACCGTCAGGAATTAGGACGGGTATTTCTGCTCCGCGCTGAAATATCAAACACGATATCGTTTGTAATTGTGTTACTGTTGCTACTACTGTTTTTGCATGATTTTGGGATTGTTTTAACGATTCCTTCTCTTTCTGCAGGTACCAAAAACGGCGTAAGAGACTACAGGGCAGCAGTCTTCGATAAACCTAAACCTTTAACTTTTCTGAACTCTCCTGCTAAGTTAGAAGATCGCAGCAAAACCTCTTTCTTATACAGGTAATAGCTACAGTACAGTAATTAATTGTCAATGGTTGTTTGATGTTCTACTACTTAATATTAATAAATGAAGGACCCAAATAATCAATAGGCAGAACCGTATTATCCGTAAGGCAGACTAGGCAAGTGCATAGAGCGCCAGGTAGAAGGAAGGAGGCGACGCCACTAACTTCTTACTGTTTAAGAACCACCCTGTTGCTTCTCATGCTCCAGGAAAATGGGGGGGGGGGGGGAATTCGAAAGCCCATGAGGTGCTTGCCTAGGGCACTCATCATGTTTAATCCACATCCGCCAGAAGGAAGGCCTCAGAAAGCTTAACTTTCTTAGTCAAATAAATAAATAATTTACCGAATAAGCGAATCTGTTTAAGTGGTTGAGACGGGGTTAATAAAATGAATAATTGGGTTTCCATGTAAGAAATAAAAGAATAGAATAACCTTCGTCAATGTGGGAAAGAATAAACTAGTTAGATTTTTTCTTAATTAGATAAGGCTAATGTTATAGGCATTTCTTACAGGCCTAATAAGGAACGAAACGTAATTTTGAAAAATTCGGCGACAAAAAAACTTCGGTAAAAATTTTAAGTCGCTTTATAGCTTTAATTTCATATCCCTAAAATTTACAACCTTCGAATTTCAAACCACCACTGAAAGCAAAAGTCCTGCAACTGCTCTGGTAATCCATCTGTCCATTAAAAATACTGGAGATAAGTAGATGATACATTGAAAATATGCGGCTTTGCTTTTACTACTTGGGCTAATTAAAGCCAATATTTAGATTGTTTTCAATAAAATCCTAATTTCCCGAAACCTTAAACAATCATAAGAATAAAACACACTAAGCTAACAACTATAGACAAACGAAACATTATTAATTTAAACGAAAACAAAAAACCTCTACAAAAGGCCTCTATTATAATAAAAAAACAAAAACTATTTCTCTATACACACAAAAGAGTTACAAAACAAATAGACAGTACAGTACACTTTATGTTAATACCTACCAACGAAATACAACTTCATAAAAATAATAAAAGTAAAAAGGGGCCTTCGTACGTAAGTTCGTACCTACACATACAAAAGCGAGACATTTGTACAGGTGAGCTCATAAGAAAGACATAAATAAAATCATGAAATAAGATTTGGAGCCAGATGTTTTACTAAAGTCAAGAAGAGTGCACTTGAGGACTGGCATCTGGTTGTGGCATGGCATTCAGAGAACATTTAGATAGGAACAGATTTTGAATAGCTTAACAGTCAACGGTAGCTTTTAAGAAGCAGAATACTTATCTCTTAATATAGGGTATTTTTTAATGAAAAGGTCATTATATTATCTTGTATCAGTGACATATTTGTTTAGTTCACTACAATATTCTTAAGTCAGCTTTGGACTGATTTTTCAATAGTTAGATAAAAGTTACCTGTGGAATAATTATGATGTTGTCGCCTCAGAATGTTTGTATTAGACAGTGACAGCAACAATTTTATTCCTCAAATAACATTTATCTAACTATTGAAAAATTAGCCCTTAACAAACGTACACGGAAAACGTTCTAATTTACCTATGAAACTCGCTTAAGACTGCCCTATGTTAATTTACTAAGAAGCAAAATTATCTCAAAATTTGTTTGTAAAAGATGCTCTATTTAATTAGCATACGGCACACATTCTTCTTCACAAGTCAGCTCGAGTCAAAACTTGCAGAATATAAATTAATTCCTTGAAACTTGTAAAAGTTTGTTAGGTCTGTGTCTTGAACCACCTGTCTACAACAGAGACGGCGACGTGTCGCTCGCATCGCAAAATCTGCGCCATTTTTTATTTTGGTAACATCGCAACAATCTACTTAAAGAATTATTTTGTTTTTATACTGAATCATGTGCTTACATTAAGTCTGGTTTAGTTCTGATTTTTGTAAATAACTTAAGATAAAAAATACAAAAGATATCGTATCTTATTACCTTTTTTAAAAATCTTGGTTACTTTCCTCATTAATCCACCACAGTATAAAGTAATCTCCCTTTCAAGATCAGTCCACCAAAAAGTTTATAAACCAAAATAATGTAAACTGTAATAAATTTTAACTTTATCAAAAGGTCTTTATTAAACTCGGCTAAGACCTCAACACCCAAAGTCCCGAAACCTTCTAAACTTGAGAACCGTCGAAGATTTAATCCGTGCTTTATACATTACTGCTTATGTAGGGTACGGTTTTGGAAGACAATGTGTGACCGCTTACTTGGACGTACACTTATTGTTTCGAGTCGTTCGTATGGTCTGAATAGATTAGACGTTGATACTCCTGTATGAACAATAGATCTATTCTCTGAAGTCAGACCTATTATGCTTAGCGTCTGATAGCTTATCAAAAGGCATTCAGGTGTTTCGTGCAATTTAGACTTACAGTGGCCTTAGGACTTCCAGATTGTATTACTGGGAAACCGGTAAAGTTACTGAGTTGAAATCGGTCGATGGTTAGCGGTTAAGCGAAGGATTAGAACGTAAGACCATTTATTTTATGTTTTACTATTTAAAATTATTTTATAATTTAGCGCGTATCTATGCCATGATTTCGTATTTAAATTCCTTTTAAAGCTTAATATTATTTTTGTCACATTAGTTTTATTTGGCAGGGCAGTTTTCGTCATATCTTCTCAAACACTGAGAACTTCAAAAATAAATCCTTTGCCGTGTCTCAACGAACCTTATTTAAATGTCTGCTTTCTAGAATATCTCCTAGATTTTAATTGATCTTTCCATTTCCTTAGGGCCGGAGATCCAGTGTCAGATAACAGATAATCGCTGGTAATTGTCCTCAGGAGGTTGAAGAAAGGAAAAGATAAAAAAGGAATTGCGTTCATTGTATTAATTGGAATCTTATAATGTTAGTTATCGAACTATTTTACGTAGTGAATGTTCCTTTTAGTTTTGTGTTCTTTCTTTTCTACTAATTCTATACCATCAATGTTTGTCATTTGTTAAAGATCTTTTAAAATTTTATTAGATGCTTATTTCGATGAGATGAAAAGTTACAATCAGTCTTCATTACGTCTTTGTAACATTTTATGACAAAAGCTAAGAAATAAAACTGCACTCACACAAATACATATTTGCAACCAGAAAAAAAAACGATTAAATCTTTACCTCATGACGTCACACAAGAATTTCCAACTCCTTAAATACATGTACCTTTATATGTATAGCCAGCATTAGCGTTGACCTGGCCTGGTCCATTAGCCTTTATAGCCAACTGCATTCCATCAAGATGCATCACCTTTGAGTCATACATACCTGTAACAAAGAACATCCTTTATTATAAACCACAAGGTAAAAGCGACCTTATGACCCCATATACATAAGGACATGTGGTCGCACATTCTGTTAAATGTTTATTTATTTGATCATGATAAGGTAATTGTATCGACAGTACACAATTAGTATTATGTAAGTAATTTAAGGGCGTTGAACTTGTGACAATTTATTGTAACAACTATAAATTATAATATGATCTGATAACTCGATAGAGTAATCCCGACATTCCAATTTATGCGTCAAGTCAAGTGCAGAAAGTTGAATATTATTTGGCAATTAAAATGTATCGGAAAAAATTGTTTTATTTTCGAAAAAATAAATGAACTATGTTTCCTATCAAAAAGTATTTTCTTAATTTATCAAAAATACGATAACAGTACTCTTCAATAAGCCTAAAACTTTAAATAAATTATCCCCAACCTGTCTGCCAAGCGTGGCCATTAAGGCAAATCGTCTTTGACAATAATATTGATTAGGATATTTTTTGATACCTTTTTAAGATCCATAGAGTTTTTTCATTCACTATTACAATAGCTCATACAAAAGTTGTTCATAACACAAAACCGATAACGAATACAATAATAGAATCCTTATTTACCAAAGAAAAAAAAATATAAAACAAATAAAATGAAATACTTTTTCTTCGGCAAAAAAACACGACGATAGGATTTGACGCGAAATAAAAACAAGTAGTAAATAAGGTGAAAATAAAGTGTAAGTACCTATATTAGAAAAGTTGTGAAATCTTATTGAAAAAAACTGTCAGGTCCGGGAATCGAACATGAAACCTCTTGCACGAGGTAATATTTTTTTTCGGTTCGTAGTTTTTTTCCTTAATAATTCACTCGACAATTCTTAAGTGTAGTCTGGAGTAAGAGTCTCGTTGATCTAAAAATAAAACGTTTAGAGTTTTATTTTTAGATAATGGTTTGAAATCATAAACGGACCGTCTTTTTTGTTTGAAGAGATCAATAGAGATATTTTTATTGGATAATTAAATGTCATTTAATAAAATTTAAGAATTTGTGAGGATCTTTTTATTAATAACACCTTTTTTATATTTACCAAAACAAAAGTCCATAAAACAATAAACAAAAGGGGAAGCCAAAACGAAAATTTGCCGCCAAAATTTGAAATAAGAACTAAGCGGTTGTCTGTCACAAACAGAACTTGCCCTCGTTTGCATAATTCCAATTAATAAAACCGATTATCACATTCAAACTTCGAAGGCTTGATGCCTTCACACAATCAATATTGTTCTTAAAATCTTCAAGCCGTTGTACAAGACCAATTTTAATTTAAAATTTACTTTGTATTAGATCCTTTTGTGAACCAAAATTGTGAATTATTAATTTCTAAGACGATCATATTGAAAATAAATAAAAAAATTTTTTTCGAATAAGCCTAGTTATCTATTGAACGTGAATTTTCTTTGACGGAATTAAGGTCTTTCGTTGAAGTTAATACAGCTGTTATAAAAACAACAAAGGGAAATGTTTAATTAAAGAAAAAATCGAGTCTTTATCACGGGGCGACAGTTACTAAGTTATTCATGTAGCAATTATGTACAAGGATCCTTAACACGCGAATGTAGGCTGATGGAAATACAAATAGTCTGTCCCAGAAAGGGATAAATTATAACGCGCTCTGCTCCTAAAATATTCATGGCAACTACAGCCTAAATCCGGCCGAAGGAGGCGAAGTTACGATCAAATTCAAACCGTATCAGTAACTGATACCAAATCCATATGCCGTGAAAAAAATTGGACGGTACCAGGTGGTGATTCCATTATTGTTCAAACCTGACCGAGGACGACAGGTGTTTTGGTCCAACATATGCTCATCCGATCTTTTGGATCCAAGCCTATCGAGCAGATGGCGATGCAAACCGCTTTACTTTTGTTGGACATTTTTTGCGCTGTTTGGGAAGTTGTGTTTGCACAAGAAATGGAGTGCGAATTCTATTTTGTGGGTCCTTTCGAATGACGCAATCCCCGAGATCGATACTATCTAAATGCTGTGTAACATACCGACGGTTTTTTCAATAAGGAATTACCTTTTAGTCGTTGTCATTACGTATATTTTTAAACAATGTTTAAAACGGATTATATGAATGCTATTAGTGACGAAAATGCGTTCACATAGTTACACGTTCAGCCAAACAAAGCAACCTCTCCAACTAAAAGTGCAGAGCATATTTTCCAGTTTTTTTTTTTATTATTTTATTTACGTCTTCCGAACCCTATTCAACGACAACAATCCACTTATACGAAATCGGAGTGCGATCTTAAAAACTCCTCTATGTGACTTGGCAGATAATTTTATTGAATTTCAAATCGAACTGGGATGCAGCTCAGAGCATATCGTCACGTATTATTGTCCAAGTCCTTAAGCTCGGGGGTTAAGGTTCATTTTATGTGGATAGTGAGTCAGCATAATAAACATCTGGCCTGGTTTTTATGGTTATGCATCAGGATTGGAGCGCAAAAGTCACGCTTAGTAAAATCAGACGCGACGAAGATGTTAAACTGTGAAATTATTTCGTGAACTCGACTCAAAGGTTAGCTTCGTAAAAGGGCGATTTTAATCATGTTTCAAAACGTGAGTTAATTTCGAAAACTAATTCTTGTTTAACACAAGAGTTGGTCGTTAATTATTTTTAACAAAACTGTCACGATAAGCGTTAACATAATTATTCTTTATGACCGTAACAAAGACTATATTATACTTTGAAGTAATGAATGTTCAACTCTGTGGTTGACATGACTTGTTTACGACCAAAAAGATATTACGACTAAAATTGAGGTGGTTTAAAACTGATTAAAATGTGAAGTTAGGCTTTAGATAGACTATACAGCGATATTAATCACACAATATATGACCTCAATTATATTCCTTTTCGATACAATACGCTCAAAGTCGATACAACCAACAACTGTATTTATACAAATTCCTTTACAATTCGCAATGAAGTTTAAAAACGATACACACAGACCGGTTCACCCATATACCAATAATCTGATTCCAATTTCATTTCAACGTTAAATAGACCGTCTGAATCACCCTTTACAAACGGACTGTGTATCAATTAAGTACCGATGGTGTTAATGTAAAATGTAAATACAAGTTTTCGAAGTGGGTTACTCCGTGTGGCCAGAAATGTACCGTTACTGGCGGTTGTATTTTTGGCTGAATGGCGAATGTACTGATGAATGACGGGTGATTTTTTTAAACCATTCGCGTAGCTGTTACTTATTTCTTTTTTGAGACTATAAATAGTAGAATGGTTTTTTTTCTTGTTTATGTGTTTGATAGAAAAGAAAAAAAATGTTTTGTTTATAAATCACCATGGTGACTTTTGTTCAAAAATAAAATTAAAACATTGGAGATACCGCTTGCCATTGTCATTTAATATGTAGTAAGGAGTTAAATACAGTACCCCGTAAGGCCTATTCCATGGGACTGCTAACATGTTGATAAATACTGATTCTACTACTCTACTAGACTATAAGATATGTGAATATTGTACGTCTAGAATGGGTCTAGAATTGCAGGCCAAGGCTCAAAACTACATTCACTTAAAAATAAAATGAACCCAAACATCTAAAATAAGATTAGCTCAAGATTTACTTTAAAAGAAACCCAAGTGACCGCAAATTCTATTAATAACTATACTTAAGCCGGGAATCTAATGTGCTTATGTGAGAACGGGTCCCAAATAGTAGGGCTGGGTTAATGTCACGATCTGAAGCCCACAGCCGTGGCCATTGTCCCTTCTGAATAATGCCGGCCATGTAGACGCCAGCAGGTCAACCAACACCTTCCATTCAAATTTCTTTATTACACTTTCAACTTTGCACTTTCGATATACAGTCGAATATCCAATGAAATTATTCGGTCAAGTTGACCTGCTGGATGGTGGCTCCTGACCTTACAAATAAGGCGAAAGGTGAACCCTACAGATCGAGAGGTTTACAATAGTAGTATTCGTCATTTGAGGGGTTTTTGTCCAGAATGAAGAGAGTTCGGAATCAGGTTGATCCTTTTAATTAGTGTCATTCAGTTGATACCTTTTTAGTTGCTCTTGATTTGATTTCGGGACTGACCATAATCGGTTTAGGGTTTATAGCCGTATTTTTTGATTTATTATTAATGTGCTCTTTTAGCTAGATTCTGTTGTATTAGCTATTGTTATATCTACGAGTATATTGTATGTGATTCTAGGTTCAGCTTAGAATAAAATCTTTTAAGGACTAACTGAATAGTTTTTCACAGTTTAATTTGTAGATTGTTTTGTTTTCAACATGGCTATCGTTAAGTGAGTATGTGTGAGTATCCTAAGACAAATAATCTTCAAGATTCAAAGTCAAAATCATTTATTTCAATTAGACCCGTACAGACACATTTGAACGTCAAACAAAGCTTAAAGATAAAAAATGTGAGTAAGTCGGTCAGTCCTCTTAGTGAAGCTACGAGTATTTGCTCGTTTCAAAGTGTAGATTCCGATGGAGAAGACGACGAAGAAACTCCATCTATGCTAGATTATGAAATTGGTTCGAATATGTGAGACCAGTGTGACACTAAAAACAAAAAAGAAAATAACCTTAAGGACAATATTATTGATGATTGATCGTGAATCTTTTTCTTAACTCAATAATGTATCTTATTAAAATAGTATACAAATCGATAAGTACATACATAATTCAATCGCGTTATCCTAGCTTCTTCCCATAATCCTAGAAATAAAAACGGTACGTAACTTTCCACGGGCACGTTCCCAACAAATCTAGCTTTTAGAAACTTTGACGGCTACACTTTGGCATTGTAAGTATACGGTTTGTATTGGGCCAACTTTGCAACCAACTTATTGGACGGAGTTAGGTCAAATGCCGTTTTGTTTTTATTGGATAGAGCGGCAAAACGAACAGACGTGTCTCCTGATGGTAAACATATGCGCTACCCATGAGCACCAGAGGAGTTACAAAAACGTTGCTGACCTCTGGCTAATGGATATTGGTAGTAAGGGCTTCGGATTGGATATCATAGGAATTGGGATTGGATTAGCAGGTTAGGAATTTGGATTGGATTAGGAATTTTTTTTTGCCCCACACTAGGATTTTTCCTGTGTCGTGGGTGCGTTTACAAACATACAATTTCACATACACATGACACCCAGACCCGGAACAACAATTTGTGGATCACACAAAGAGTTGTTCCGTGCGGGAATCGAAACCGCGTCACGTTGCGCGGCAACAGTTGGAGATTGGGGGTTAGGGAATAGAGATTGAGGAATGGGGAATGAAGATAAGGGACTGGGAAATGGAGATTGGAGATTGAGTATCAGGGATTGAGTTTGGGATTAGAGATAAAACTTCACTCACCGCCATGTCATATTGAACCGGCCCAATCGTGCCGAAGCATGGCTTTCCTAAGTAGAAACCTATCCAGATTGTACACATGTGTCCAACTTTTGAGCCAACATGTTGGACGAATCCAGGTCAAACGCTGGTTGTAAATGGGGCCAAGCAACCAACTTTATTGGTTGGAACCCGCACAAAAACTATGGTTCATGACCTAGAACGTTGTAAAATAGTACTTAGTGCTAATGTTTAGCTTGAGAGCTAAACGTGGTAGTGCTGTAGCAAGTTTTAAACTTGATTAATTTACTGTTGAGTGGATGCTGGCTTTGGAACGATTGTTATAGTAGGTTTGTATGTTTGTTGCTTATGGCCTGTTACCTCTATAGTTACGTATATGACAACAACTGGGTAGTTTCCTTAGTCAAACATAATTAATTCGACGTTTTAATACAATAAAATATTGAAAAATAACTATACTTTTATTCATCGATCGATCGATACACTAAGTTTTAGATAGTTTTTAGCAAATTTTTAAGAAGTAAAAAGGTAAGCTATTTGTAGCAAAAATACTATGACATCATAACTCAGTGTTTCATACAAATTTTTATAGAAAAGTAGATATCGTTTTTGACATTTGGATAAAAGTATTGAATTTGACTAGTTGAAAACTACCGTATTACGTAGATGAATTGATAGAAATGAATAATATGAAATTTGGGAAACTCATGCTTCGGCATGAATTAACCAGGAGTCCAGGAATTAGACCATTCAGCCGGGGTTGCAGGGAAAACGCAATGAGATAGCGCGGCCTCGGACTAGAGCAGGAGAAGGAACAGCGATGTTTTTAGCCAGTGAGAGTCTGACACTCCCTCTTGCCCCACCTAGAGTGGTGGGGGGAGAAGTAAGAAGTAAGAAGAAGAAGTAAGGATTTCTCCTCACAGAAAAGGATTAAATCACGGCTTCGAAGAAAACTTTCGTCAGACAACCCTCGCGTTTTGTTTTGCAATGCAAGCGAGGTTACCGGTGGCCCAACCTTTAAAGAGCAACGTAATTATCACACCTCTGGTGGTGCGGGTCCCGGGGGCCCTTGGGCGGAATTAGGTAATCCATTTTTATATTTTCTCTAAGACACGAAAAATAAATTCTAAAAGAAGAAACATAAAGAATGATAGTAGGTTATCATTAAGGACGGTATAAGTAGACGGGCTTATCATAACTCTTCCAGAGTAATTACTCAAGTCAACAAAACCCCGTAGTAAATACTTCACTGCTCTCCGGTAAACAGTTTTGATATATTCCGTTGCCATGGTTACAGATAAACAACAGTATGTTATTTCTATCGTTTACAAATGCTTCCTAAATAACACGGCAGCTTTAAATCATAAATATTACTTTTCATGCTCTATAAATTATGAGTTGTCAACACAAAAAAACATATTGATTTAAATATATTACACAAACAAATGACTGACGACTGGCAGTGTGCCAAACGAAATAAATATGAAGAACGTATATAAATTAAATTAAAATATTTTATTACCTTGTCGATAGGGCTAGAGTACTCCGGTTCTGTTCTCTGGTCTGGCTATGTATCTTTGTTTTCTTTTAATGATTTCGTAAATTCTTCGCAAAGTTGTAGCGTAGCATCACTGACGAACAGACTGACGGACTAGTAGGTATTATATTTTGACGTTTCAAAATTACCTGCTTATGGTTAAGATGGAATAATGATTTTGGTTTTAAGTTAAGGACGCTTAAAATGATCTAATTAAGAGTACGAAAAAATAAATAAATAAAATTACTTAACCGTCTACGATTGACACAAGCAATGTTAAGCAATATAATAACTATTTCCATGTTCTATTTGTATGATAAGAAAAATAGATAATATAGTGTACCTATATTAAACCTAGCAATTTAATTTAATAGTATATGACTCAAACCCAATATTCAACAAGACCTAGTTTCGCTGTAAACCTTAGTAAATATATAAAAAGAAAACCAAGAACTCCTTCGGTTTTTACTACCCCTCTCTTATTGGTAGTACCGTGATGTAATAAAGCCTTCAAACTAAACAGTCTTCCTCCATTTATTGTCTATTTAAATTAAACAAACAATAATGTTCAATTCGAACCAGCAATTCCGGAGAATAGCGCGTTCAAGCAAACAAAAAAATACTTTATAATGAAAAAAAAATTATCAGCATTTGGCGGGCGATTGATTGTTGTAATATAGAAACTCACAAGCCTTATTTAATGATATATATAACTATACATATAAATACCTACATAAAACGACATAAAAATAGCATAAACCACAACTCCAAAACTAATCTTATCACCTTAGCTATCAGTGTCCTAATTTGAAAGCGCAAAAATATTACTTTTAGTTCAAAATATGCATAATGTAACGCGGCCAAGTTAAATATCGAACTAGTAACGTTATCGACACACCCTGTATGTTCGTACTTAGGTTCTATGCAGACGGGAGACTTTTGTTCTGTATGCTGAATTGCTTAAAAATTAGTCAAATTCAATATTGTTTGAGAATTGTTAAAATCGACCGTTTGTGTTGTGACGTCATATTTTTTTTTATGTTAGCTACAAAAAACCGTATCTTAAGCAAAGAAAAAAATATCTTTTATGTTAATTTAATTAGTTCTAGTTTTAATTTCTATATATTTCGACCGTATAACGCATAAATTTTAGAATGTTGGTTAGCTCGTAACTGGCTAATGTATATGACCTACTGCCTATAACCAATACTTTAAACCACTTGTATACATAAGCTGTGAGCGTACCTTATAATAAATAAATAAGTACATAGATCTAGATCATCATCATCATCATTATCATCATCAATAACCCATTTCTAACTACTGCTGGACGTAAGCCTTTCCAATAGGCCTTCAGTGTCACTACTTCAGCCTTCTATCGAATATTGTCATAACGGCTAGCTGGAGAGCTTTCTGCAATGTGTTTACTTTGACGAGGTTTTCACGCCAGAACACGGTGTACCTCCAACGGTTATCGGTTCACGGTTATCGAATAACCCTTACACACTCAAGTTCATCTAACGGCAGCCTAACCGGCCGAAATTAACAACCATCCAAAGAGTTTGGATTCAGAACCATTTTAAACTAAGAACGATATTCGTCTTTCTTATGTTTTTGGTTTATTATTTATTTTTTCTTTCAAAAAATATTTAATGAAACCTAACATTTCGGATTAATGCTACGAATATTAAAAACGTCGTGGTGGCCTGGCAAGTGCCAATGTGACTTTTTCCGTGTTATAATATGTACTTTCTATGATTATTTAGACACCACTGATATTCGGTGAAGGTAAACATCGTGAGGAAACCTGGACTTATAATTTCAAAAATATAAGTTTGAAATCGCCAACCCGCATTGAGCAAGCGTGGTGATTATTCCTCAAACCTTCTTCGTCTTAGAAGAGGCCTTTGCTCAGCGGTGGCTGATGATGATGATGATGATGATGATGATGATGATGATGATGATGATGATGATGCTACTAATATTATAAATGCTAAAGTTTGAGTGACTATATGGATTTATGTTTGTTCCAACTCACTCACGCAAAAACGGCTGGAGAAATTTGATTTGTCTTAATTTTCTATGTAGATCAGGCGATACCCTGAATTAACACATAGGCTTTTTATCAACATACCACGCGGGCAAAGCCGAGGGCGAAAGCTAGTAACAAAATTCCGATCGTAAAGGTGTCCTGTGCTACAACAGAGTCATAGCAGTGGCACGAAAGTCCCTAGTCTGAGCGTGACATAATAAATATAGGGGTCAGGAACCGCTGATAAGGATTCAATAACCTTCCTCTATCGGTTATGCAAATATAAGGGCAATAGGAACTTTACTGGATGCATGTAGGTGGGTTTGATAAAACTGTCTACTTTATATCAATGGGTGATAACGGATGGAACATTTGATTTCACACGCTTGCTAATTGTGTGTTGGTTGTGAAACGATCGATTTTGGTCATTTGGTAATGTGGTTGTCATAAGGTAAATACATAAGTATTTTATAATAAGGTAAATACTTATGTATTTACCTTATTTTATGCAATTAAACTTATCTTTTTTCTCATCATACTTATAAATTCTTTTCTAATGAGTCCTCTAACTTTGTCTATACTGGAAACCACTCGAAAGTTTTTTTTTAGTTTGCGGGGAGAAATCATCAATTCTGTTCTCTCGCCTTGAGTGGTGGTTGGAGCGAGAGGGGAGTATTAGACCTTTACTGACTAAAACCCACTCTGCTCCTCCTCCAGCTCCAGCTTAGAGCCGCTGCGCATAATTGCGCTTCACCAGCAACCCGGCAGAACATCAGCTAAGATAAATCTGTGGTCTCGAGATGTAACTGCTTAGTTTGCCACTCAAACAAGATAATCAGACTCTAAAATAACAATTAAGATAATATTAAAGTCCCCTCACGTACAAACAGATACTCGTATGATTATACATATGTATATGTATGTAGGTACATATAAATACAGTTGCTACATATGTGCTTCGCGTAGCAAATTTGGCTAAGTAATTTTGGATCATTGGAACGCCTACTGCCTCAACTATAGTTTGCAAGATGTATCTTGTATGTAAATATATTGTTATACTTAATTATTTCAATCGATTATCCTTAACGTTTAGTCTAGTCAAATTACTTACGTGTGAGAGATCCAGGCTTCGGGCACGAATGGGCCAGCTCCACCGGAGTGATGCATGATCTTAATGAAAAGTAGAATAAAATAGCGCTTTTGTTTAAGAGGGAAAAATCATTAAATTATTTCTCTCGTCCAGGGTATGGCGAAAGGCAGTGTCAGACTCTTACTAACTTAAAACACCATGGGGTGTTTAAGTGTAGTTTGGTGTAGAAGGAATGGTCCTTCTCCTACTTTGGGCCAAGGTCACGGTACCTTATTGCGCTAGCCCCAAAACCCCGTCTAGACAAAAATAATCCTTACGGTAAGGATGGAAAAATGTAAGCAAAAATAATCTGTCTTTTTTTTTAAATACTAGAAGCTTCCATTGCATATCAGAAAGCATTTGGGAACATAATTAAAGTTAATGCATACTGATTAAAAAAAAAATTACCCCTATAAATTTAAACAGAAAACATGAAACCATCCAAAAGGATGGTTTATATTAAATAACATTTCACATAATATTTTCGCTTGGACATTTCACTCGGAACTTCAAATAGCAACGCAAAGTTAAATTGACAGTTTAAAAATTCATTTTTATCTCACTCCCTTCCGGATCCCCTAACATCATGAGTCATGGCAGCCAATGGGAACATTTCCCAGTTCCATAATATTAAAGGACATATTTATAAAACAAATTACCACGTACTGAGTAACTATAAGCTCTTAGTGTAGCTTGGAACTAGTCGAGCTTACAGCCAATAGCTACGTAAGAGACGTTAAACATAATTTTAAATATCCTACTAATATTGTAAATGTGAAAATTTGTAAGAATGTACGGATGTTTGTCTGTTTGTTATTCTTTCACGAAAAACGGATGGACCGATTTGGTTGGAATTTTGTATACAGATAGGTGATATCCTGGATTAACGCATATTATAGGTAAAGACTACGTTCTATCAACATTGGTATGTTACGCTGGCGAAGCTGCGGGCGGAAGCTAGTGGTTCATACCAATACAATTACATATAACAGTCAAGTGCGATCCGGACTCGCATATAAAGGGTTCCCTACCCGTGATTCTTGTTGTGACAGTGTTATGACTTAATTGCAACAGGGTGCAAGCCGAAGAGAAAGAGCTATACGAGTGGTCTAGCTCTGTCTCTTACCCACACTGAAGTAAGATTAAAACAATCTTACTTTTAATGTCATGGTTACCCCCTGTAGCCATAAACATAGTGTTACCCACAACATTTAAAAAAAAATATTTTAGAAATATATGGCGCGACTTGGGAAAAGACCCTAAGACTTCTTTGCTCAGCAGTCGCATAGGCAACCAATCGAGACATGTCACAATATTTATACTAGCTCAGCAAACATTAACAAAATGTAATGACCTCTTTCGTTAGCCCCGTAATGTAAACTCTTCGTCATTTTATTGTGTTCCCTCCATCCCACAGGACTAAAACTTCACTAATTTTATAATCAAAACGTTTCTGTTGCACTGAAAGTATTCGCAAGTGAACATTCATTCTACATTTTCAGTTATCAAAACGAATTATCAAACTAAAGTGCACTTTTTTGTGAGGGGAAAATCATCAAATGCGTCTCCCGCAGGGTGGGGCGGGAGAGAGTAGCAGATTCTTACTGATTAAAATCTCTGACTAAACTACTGACTAAACCATAGTACAAAACAACGTCGCTTCCCGCTGTCTGTCCCTAGGTGCTTAGATCTTTTAAACTGCGAGACAGATTTGATGCGGTGTTTTAGTTGATAAAATGTTTTAAAAATGATTATGAGAATTATTTTAGTTGTATTAATATTTATTAAACCTGTCTCACGAAAATTATAGAACAAAAATATCAAAGCCATACACTACGATATTATCAAACATATTTGACGCAATATACCTAAGTAGAGTTTGATTTGCGAGAATATTAGTTATCTTTCTACCCAGTTAACTTTCTATGTATTTCATTCAAAAGTAAGACACAGATAGGTATATTACAAGGTAGTATATGAATTATTGATGATAAGCAAAGATAACAGATACAACCCGTATGTTAAAGTTTAACAGGCGAACCGAACTGTGCTATCGACTCGATTCCAATCGGATTCCGGCATTTATTCCCATGACTGATCTGATTAACAATCCATACTCCACATTCGTATTAAACCGTGAACACACGTACAGGCATAGCTAGATGTTGTATATGGAATGGTAAGTTATTTTCGTATTGTAACGATCGTGAGATTTACAAATTTTAATGGAAATAATGACTATATTTTTATTATAACTTTCGTGAGACATTCTAAATTAATTATTATGTTTTCGGCTTACTCATGAAATAACCGCGAAACGCGACAGTCGCCGCCGCGTGTCGTGGAATGCTGCTCATAAATATGGGCCTCTAGCATGGCTTGAAATTAGGCGAGTATCTCGTCAAATTATTACGTGAGTAAGCCGAAAACATAATTATAAAATAACGAATATGTGAATTAACTAAGAAAAGATCTGATAGTTTTCAAATCATAGCAGGACTCTTTATTGTGTGCGTTGCTGTGATATATTACACGCTTACACGTGTCACTAGTTTTAAGGAAATATCTAGGCTAATTTGTAATAACAATTGATCGCTAAAATTTGTTATTCGAGATATTTAATGTGATTTGTATGGAATGTAAATGCAAAAGATTTATAGTTAAAAAAAACTAAAATCACGGTTTTATTCCGTGACATACATATGTATATCATTGTCATTATAAATACGAAGTTGACAAGCATCGAAAAATATTTTGGTTAATCATCATTTCGGTTTGTTTGGTTCAGTCACGACGGGAAATTAATTTTTAAATGACCGTCTTTTATACTAACTTAAAACGTTTAAATATTGTAAGTTTCATATAGATTAAGTAGTTTTTTTATTGTTGTTGTCATGTGCGAGTCTAAATAAATGTTTTTTCTTTTCATTCTTTCTTTCAAACGTACGTTACGTACCTAGCTTTTTCTTCATACACAGCAAAACCATGATAAACTGGAATTGTACAGTTTGGTGGGTAGAGGTGCATGTATAATATTTTTATCCAGGTAAAGATCAGTGCTAGAATAGGCTTTTGATTAGCGATGGGGCAGGCTTCACCTATTTACTAACTCGCCATAAATACATAAAAAGTTTAGTTAAAGTAACTATGTCTTTAAAAACTGATGTTTAGTCTATTACGAAACGAAAAAGCAATTTATGGAAATATCATGCCTATCGTAACAAGTCTAGAAATCTATTTGAAACATTTTTGTCTAACTTTTTATGGAAAATGACTGATTTAGTAGTTGTAGACAAAAATAATAAAAAACGAATTTGTGTGTTCACTTTGAATTACTGTAGACCTATTTTCTAAAACAATGTTTTGAACCAGACATTATCAATCATTGCTAGAAACAGATAAAAATCGAACCTAGTCTTCGGTAACAGAGTTTATTTTGATCCATCACTAATTTATTTTACTTTGATTCCAGTACGAGTGTCTCCGAAACTTCTGAATTATAGATAATCTAAAAAACTTTGATTTACGAATGGCTACAAAGATTTATGCTCTCTGCGATCCACGAATTGAATATATAATGCGCAGGCGTCGCCGCCTTATAATCCTAAGTTATCTATTACGCCTAAAATATGCCGTTTCCATGAAATTTTAAACACGCTCGGAGACCGAAGACGCCGTTACCTTTAACTTGACCGGACTTGGATCACGAGCTTTCGTAAAACTCGTAAAAATGTTTCCATAATGTTTTTTGGTAGGCACTGGCTTATTATTTCTTATATTTCGCCTTGAATCTCCATTGACAACAAGAATTTTAGGACCTTCTTGTAGGATAGAATTTTATTAATAATCTTGTAGGGACAGCTATGTTAACTAACCTCTTTCGTTACAATTTTGTTGCTTTTTTTTTCTTTTTTTTTATTACTCTGCTTTTTCTCATTGATGTTGACAAGTAACCTCTTGGTCATTATTTTAATTATCACCATGAGTGCAAGTTGGGGAACAAGTACTTTATCACCTGCATTTTGCTCTTCGTCCAAACCGTTGTCCAGTGTAGACGTGTTTACGATTTTCTAAGCCAATCTAATAATACTTGAAGTGCGAAAGTAGTTCCTAGTGATAACCAAATAAACAAGAAAGTTGAAGAACATTACTCTGTGTTTCGCGTGGACACTCCGCGTCAGAAGCCCCCCGTACCTCAAGCTGCGAAAAAGAGAGGTACCCCATAATTGCTGTCCTGCTCTCGCGCCGCTGAGACCGACCGTAAGGTGATCGGACACGCGCACTTAACGCACTGACTCACGTCTAAGTTTTAAGTTCAAATTAGAACTTATTCCACGCTTAATCCAAAGGATTTGATGGCGCAAGAAATGGACAAATCGCTTTCTGAAACTGACATCAATCTGGTGGGATTAACTACGCCTCCTAATTTTGTATTTAAACGAATCAAGAGGAACAGAGACGATATGGAGGACTCGATCGACAAACAGCTTGCTGAGTTTAGGGAGGAGATGAAAAAAATGCTGACTCTCTTCTCCGACAAACAAGGGAAAGAGATTCAACAAATTACTGCCACACTTAAGGAAATTCAACAATCCAACGACAATATCGGAAG